AAAACCTAACAGAAATTCAGCTGCAGTATTAGGGTATTTCTCATTCAAAATTTATCTAGACATAAGAACAGGCAAGTGCTATGAATTTGAAAAAATACTCAAAACCCAACAAAGACATGTATAAACTGTGGTATACCCTATCTTAAAACAGTCTACTTATTCTGCTCAATGATTTCTGAACAATAACAGAAATTGAATTATGTTGTACAAGGAAAACACATGAAACAACTTCAAAAGACTTAAAGACTGACAAGACAAGAACTATTTACTATGAAAGGATGAAAATAAATTGTATAAAATAAAAGCATCACATAATTGATCTGGGTTTATTTTTTTAGTGACTGCCAAAGCAAACAAGATGAGCAGATCACACAAAAACGTTAGTGAAAATAATAATATGAACAGGGATGGATTTGCTTGAGGAATCAGGCCCATTCTAACAAATTGCATTTTAACACTGAATAAGAAGCTTGCGACAAGTTCAGAAAACCAGAAAGATCTATGCTGGAAAGTCATGAATCCAGAATGACTTGGGTTTCATAACAAGGAAGAAACTGAACACATGGTCATGGTGTGGCAGAGTGGGGAAAACTGCTAAGGCAGTTTTTTGATGCACCAGCAGAAATAAACTGAAATTGGAAGGTGATATTTCCCTCTTCTCAGAGCATAATGTTGAGACAAATATTGAAATAACAGATATATAAAACATATAAAAGAACGTAAAAAATAGAGGAAAAATGGAAACACTACATATGTGAGCAAAATGGAGAAAATTCTTTACAAGACAAGACAGGGTCTTGACAAACTGTTTTGTTTATCAACAAACTAGGTAGAACAATCTTCACAAGAAGAAAGTCCTGAACAGACATTTTTTGGCATAACAGACAAACATAAATCAAAGACAAATCACTACAGACTTAAGCCAAAAGAACTCAAGCAAGAAGGCATACATGCAACAGTATTCATAATTAACTACTGGAACACACTTTCTATGGGAAAATGGGTTAAGTGTAAAAGGGCTAAAACCATCAAACTTCCAATGTCTTCAGAGGAAAACTAAGTGGTTCTATGGGTGGTACTCTTTAACCACAGGCAACCCGAAGACATTGTGCTCGAAGACATACCATGGATATAAGGCCTATGCACACATGCTCACCTTTGAACACATTACACACTTGATTGGTTACATTTGCTTCTCTTTAATTATCCAAGTGTTCTACGTATAACTAGGTAAAACTATATGGATTTGGGGGAAACTAGAAATCCAGGGGAAGAAAAATGGAAGAGAAATGGAACAATTATGAAGCACAATCGCTAAAGATCAAATAACAAGAAGATGGCATCTTTTAACAGCCCCCAGCCTAAGGAGGACTCAGTTCTTCCCAGAAGAACTACACTCACTTATTTCACATCAGATATATATAAATTAAAAAAAAAAAAAAAAAGGATTGCGGGGAACAGTTCCTAGAATTGGAGGAAAATGACAGATCTTGCATACAGGGTGCTGATCTGGATTGGATGAAGAGAAATGGGGAAGACATTTGAATGTCTGATACTAGAGCAACTCATAAACAAGGAGAGGAAGAAAGCTCAGAATATGTAAGTGCTTGCACAGAGCGAGAATCTAGAATGGGAAGAGCAAGTGATGTACAGACAGAGAGTCCTTAGAGAAGAATAAATGTGGATATGAATATAGCCATGACAGGTAGAAGTGAAATGGGTATACTGGTAGGCTGGAAACCTAATGGGAGACCTACAGAACCCACTTCCATCATGGTTATGGTGTTTTACTTTGAAAGTGGAGTACGGCAGGAATATTCACACAGCTTATTATTTGGGATGTTTTGATGAGTAATGACTCATTACAACAATTTCTCACGAGCTTTGAGTTCTATCTACAATGCAGGATACTCGTACCACCTGTAACAATATTCAACTGATAGCCTGTAGGTGGCAGGTAAAGGTGGATAGCCAGTGTGTGGCAGGTAAAGGTGGAATGTTATTTTTTTCTCAAGAGGATCAGAAAGTAGAGCTTGAGATGCTGATACTGCTATAAATTCTGCATTCAACAGTTAAAGAAAACATTTGGCAAAAGGAATTATTGATGTCTATGTGTTCTTCTTTAAGAAACAAAATAACTGTCTAAAAGGCTATTAAGTCTTATCTTTTCCCTTCTCTTCTCTTCCTTCCTCCTACCTTTTCCCCATTTTCTTACCTTAAAATACAGAACTCTGCCATTTCTCTTCTGCTTTCCACAGCTTAATTCAACTTCCTTGCAGCAAAACTTTCTTTCAACAGCTAGTAAGACCTTTGGTTTTGTGTTCTCTTAATGCCTTCTGTATTTCTCTTCTTCATATGTTTTCTCCATAAAGTTATTTCTTAACTCTCCTGTTTCTGAAGTTTGATCAGATTATAGAGCAAATGAACTTCAGCCACAGTAGCATTGACCCAGTATCTCATATACAGGCATTTGAGTGGAAGGTGAGCCTGAAGGTCTAGTACTATAAGCCAGTCAGCCTCAGACATACAACATAAACAGATAGTCAGCTGTATTAAATAATACTCCACTACATAATCAGTTGTAAGTCTAATAAAGACATAATGGAGAATGAAAAAAGTAAGATCATAGAATCATAGGATGGTTAGGGT